TTTAAGTGGGGGAACTTGCACAATCGGTGGCTGACTAAATACCTTTTTTGCCCCACTGTAAACTCAAGGCTTTGAAAGAATACGCCACAAACCGATGGCTAGCCAAAGAATGACGTGCAAGACTACGAGAAGCCATTACCAAAATTAAGTTCTGAACATGCAACACTGCTGTTGAAATATGGTTAAGAATGTGTGTAACAGCTGTTACGCTGGGATATGACATGCAGCTACCTGAAAGCTGAAGAGAGTATTTAAATATGAGGTAAACTGGCACGCAGGTTTGGCAACAGTCTGCAGCACAATCCCTCCAGTCTTATGGGAAAATTATTTTACATGGACCCTAGTTTTGTTTTAAACATTATAGACTGAGCAGCTTTGACGAGGATTTGGTTTTTCCCTGTCCTAAAAATATTTTGTGTTTTGTGTAATAAAATATAAAGTTTCGGTCTGTGCGACACATTTTCAAAAAGAACATTCGATCTGCTGCGTCCACTTTTCAAATGCCATTGACTCCCTCTCTCAACCTGTCTGGACAGCTTGATGCTGAGTATACGCTGTGCGTGGGATAGAAGTCAAACCGAGGGAGGCAGACGGGTGCAGTCGCTTCTCAGTACACGATGGCCTAAAACGTCCATTGCTGGAGTCAACAAACACTAGTCCATATTCAGTATTCTCATTTTGATTTGCAGTTTACAAATGACACAGGCAGACTTCCCGTGAGCTTAATATTATTCCTAAGTGCGCTCTGACACTGGATTTAGGCATCCAACAGCAATTCCACTGTAATAAACTCAAGTACACCACTAATATTTGTTGTTTTTTTTTACTTTTACACACTTCTTTGATAGCAAAAATTCTCTGTGACTGAAAATCCAAATGAAGATGACGTCTTTCACGGTGCCCACTCGCCTCGTCCATTCTTAAATTTTCCGTCCTCATTTCTCCCAGATCTCAGCTGTCTGGCTTACAGCAGCTGTTGCTAGGCAACAGCTAACACCCACCCATTTGAATATTAACACTTATATCACAACAACACTGTCAGAACAGTAAAATAGAGGACAAAATGTATGTTGTAAAAAGATCGAGTTATGCATCCTTTTTGCGACTGAACGTGTAAAACAAGCGCCGATTTACGGTCATTTTGGCTGTTTCGAAACATTTATGTTTATGTCACTTAGTTTTAGCAACTGAACATCTGAATCAAATGAAACCACAAGCACAAGATGATGCTTCTCAGCTGTAGCAGGTTCTAAACTGTCCACTCACCTGGAATTGTTCACCTCTAAGCTCATCAGCGTTTTTCTTTTTTAACACTGGCATGTTTTTCTGAATGTTCTAACCTGCGATACAGTGACAACAAACACTTGGCAGTGGAGCTTTTGAACACCCGAGTCACATTTAGATCTTTTTCTATTCTTTTTCTGCGCTGTGTTCTCTGTCTCACAGATAATAAATCTGTTGCAGTGACACTGAAAACCTGTGCAGGCCTACTTTTTTCCCCAACCAACCAATAAAAGAATCAGTAGTGTTGCTGGGATTAGAAATACTGAAACGACGGCAAACAAAAGTGTAACAGGGCCGTGGCTCCAGGAAATCTGATTTAAATCAATCATTGCAACCAACTATAGTCAGATTTACACGCCACACGTGCTTTGTTGAAGAATGAATGAAAGAGCAGGTGAATAGGAGGCAGGGCACTGGTGATGAGTTCAGTATACAGAGAGAGGCTGAACAAAAATATGTGTTACAGATACACCGACACGAATACCTTTCCAAATTCTTTCATGCTCACTCAGTGATGCTTACACAGAGACAGCGCTGGCGCAAGTTAAGACCTGCAGCGAGAGGGTGTGTGTGAGCTGTTATAGGCCTGTGTGTGGGAAGATAGACAGGATTGCTCTGTTTCTACAGAATGACCCAACAAGGAGGGGGAGACAGACAGCTGGATCACAACACGCTTCAATATAATGGAAATTTCTGCAGTGATGATCTTTAATTGGATGGCTTAGTCACGCAACTCTGACCTGTCACTTTATTTTTCAAACAAATCAGTCTTTAGGATTAAGTTATGACACACTCAGTGAAACACCAGCACACATACATTGTTTTCATTCAAAACTTCTTACAGCAACACTGTCTCAACCCTGATGTCCTCATGATGAGCGTCTCTCCCTCTCACTGTCACTTGGGTCACCCTCACTTTCACTGTTAGTTTTGTCACATGAATTTGCCCTTTGGGCACTGCTGCCCTTATCCAGTAGTTCTTTTAGTATATGTTGCATCATTGTTATATAAAACTGAGCTCCACATGTGACTTAACTAACCGTGCTAAGTACAGCTGAAATTATCCTGATGAATGGATAATGAGAACAGGGACATGAAAGTGAAGGCATCCTATGGTCCAAACAGCACTTACAAAATAATGATCCCCATCTTCTTTATCACAATTACAGTCATACACATGACGTGTGTCCTATGATCTAAGGAAACAGCAGGTCTGGAACTCGTCCAGTGAACCAGGAGAGAGAAGAGGAAGTTTCTGAGTCTGTTCTGCTTCTCTTTCTCTTCCTGGCATTCTCTCTCAGCCATCTATCATCCATAAAACAGCGTGAGATTTATGGAGCCAACTGGATGTCCGTCTCCCCTCGCCCTCTTTCTTACATTTCCCTGCCTGCCTTCTCATTTGATTTACTAACTATTATTCTGAGGACATATACAACAGTGAAAAAACCAGATGAGCTGACTGTGAGAGGGAGACACAAGGGAAGAGCAAGAGGGAAGCAACAAAATGACAAACATAGAGAACTGCAACTAAACACGCAACCAATGCTGACATGGAGATACAGAGGGGATGACTTAACAACCGATTCATGGCATTTTTTATTTCTCTACAAACTAAATAATTCATAATTTGGTCCTTTAAGTTGAAAACACTAAGTAGAAGGCATGCCCACATATCTGCAACGCCTCTAACTGGCATATTTAACAGGGGATTCCTGGCCTACATGTTGCTTGCTTTCTTTTATTCTTCCCCACTGGCCTGTACAGGAGTGCAGCCAGATTGGCACGTGGACCTAGTGAGGCTACAAACCTCCAGCAGATAGGCACAGCTGGCTTTGTGCCCAGGATACAAACTCCCTTCTTGCAGAGAGCGTGTACTCCACTCCCTGCTGCTTCTTTGCAAGCCAGGGCCACTATTGTTGGAGCTGCTGCAGCTGCTGCAAGGGTCTCTCCTCTCCACTGTGCAAACTGACACACATTAGAGGACTGCATGCCCTTCTGTATGACTAAAGAAAAGACTGCACCCAAACTGTACTTCAGTGATCCCCTTATACCCTCAAAATGTATGTGTGCCCCTTGTAAGAAGGTTAAGGGAATGATGTGATCACTAGAAAACCACTTGTAATTTTACATTTCGGCAATATGGATCCTCATTGTGCGTGGCAGTGGGTGTCCCTCCTCTCATCATTTGCACTGGGTTGATTCACAGCCCACGTTAAAAATAAATAAATAAATAAATAAATAAAAATCACACCATTACACATCCAGCTGATGTATCACAAAGATGCCATATGAAAATTACAATCAATGAATAAAAATGCAATAAAGAAAATATGGATAGAGAATCGCCATCCGGCTCTTTCAACGTCCTTTCATTTTACCCTGTTGATCCCACTGTTACATTCCGCATGGGCGAAGCGTGCTATCCCCCCTTCAGAAAAAAGAAATCCCGTAGCCTAAAAAAAGGTGTGCCATTTTTTGCGCAAAGCTACTATGTGCCCGAGAGGAGCTCCTACCTGAATCGGGGCGAATCTTTTATACATTCTTCAAAGTCCACAGTCATTTTTGCGTTTTCTCGTTAATTCCCACGTCAGGCTGCCAATGTCATTGCCCCCAACGGGATGTAGCTTGAACCGTGTGGATGATGACTGGTATCCCCTTGACGCGCAGCAGTCTGTCGCCCCTCTTCTGGTGGCACGGTGACACAAAATGCGAGCCGAGTGCGCGGCACGCAGATTACTACTACACTACTGCCGCTGCTGCCCAGACAGGCGGGAGGCGTAGCTGCACCTTGAGCACCGGAGAAGGAGAAAAGAGCGCCGAGCAGACACAAGCTTCCGTAACAACCCAGGAGGAGCACACGGAATCATGGGAGATAGATAGATAGATAGATAGATAGATAGATAGATAGATAGATAGATAGATAGATAGATAGATAGATATTAAATACCTCATAGTACCATTTTATCCTAACAGAGCACTTTGCTTTCAAACTGCATGCTTATTTGTGGTTGTAGCAGTTTTTTAAAGTAGAATGGGAGGCAGAGCCTTCAGCTTCCAGGCCTCTCTCCTGTGGATTCTCCCAGTTGGGATTCAGGAGACAGGTAATCTCTGTGATATTAAGATTAGTCTTAAAACTTCCCTTTTTGTATTAAACTTTTAGCTCGGACTGTATGTGAACTCTGAACCTTGCATATGCTGCAATAGACTGTAGCAGCTGGTGGGGGCTTCCCATGATGCTTTGAAAGTTTTTTCTTCATGTTTTCATTCTCTGTATTTATACATCAATTTGTGTTTGATCATTAAAGTGTCTCTCTTTCTTTCTCTGTGCTCTTAGGTTGGTTGTTGGTTCTCCAGGAGGTTTCTTCCTGTTAAAAGTGATTTTTTCCTTCGCGTATGCCCATGATTGTTGGGATTTGTCTATATTATTGTAGAGTCTTTACCTTACAGCGCAAATCACCTTAAGGCAACTGCTGTTGTGAATTTGCGCTATACAAATAAAACCGAATTGAACTGAATTAAAAGCTACTGTGGGTGTAATATGTGTAGGTGGTCCTGTACGTTTGTCTATATAGTGTTTGTAAACACAAAAACTGGCTTAAGTATGTGCTATTTCCCTCACGATTAGCATCAGCTTAAACGTCATCTATGTGGAAAATGTGTAGGTATGTGTATTCTCTGGGGGGCACAGAGAATAATATTAACACTTAACACAAAAAATAATATTGTAGATTTGATATAACTAATTATGGCCAACCTATCTTAAACATTAAACTTTTTTCTTTTTTTGCTTGACTCGTCTGCTTATCCCTCCGCCCTGAACCGCTTGCTCTTGTTAGCGGTACATTGACTACTTGCTGTCGACCAATCCTAAATGTGTGTACAGTATCTGGCTTCAATGACTGAAGCAAGAAGGCTCTGCGGCTGGAGCGACGTAATCAAAATGCGACGTACTACAATGTGGAAGGAGGCAAGCATTCAGAAATGTTGCTGTGTAGTAACGTGCACTGAACATAGGTGTCACAGCTTGGATAGCGTCATACAGTGCACGTGCCGTCTCACTGCTAGTTATCACGCGGCGCTTGTAACAGCTCTTTTATCGGGTCTGCACTGTACTACAGCCTCGTGACATAGTAACGTGCGCTCTCATATGTCAACAGAAGAATTCTAACAGCTGTTGTCTCCAGTGTACTTCCGGACTACACTTCAGAGGGTTCTCGGTGGTACTTGGAGGTGAGGGGTCGTGTCTGGCTAGCACAGGAACGTTTCACCAGAGGTTCAGTCTGCAGGGACATCAGTCACAGCTGGATCCATGAAATGATTCTGCATAGCAGTTTTTCCACTCTCGTAAACGAGGAACATGCACAGTGACATTTCGAGTCAACATGCACAACCGGGCTCGTTACCTCATATTTTTTCAGTACATCGGAACAAAATACCGGTAGGTTACAGGGCACACTGAGATGTTATATTTTATTATTACTATTTTTGAATGTACCACTACTGTTATCATTATTGCAGTGGAGCAGTGAAAGTCCCTCCACATCAGCTGGGGAAGAAAGGGGTCCAGGACCACTTGGAGGTATGTTTTAACTCACTTAAAGCTAAGTGACAAGTTGCCTTTGAGCTGCTAGTATTAAATGTAGTTAGGCTTAAAAAGCTGTGTCATGATTTTATGAGTCTGCTTAGCTTAGTAATTCATTATAGGCCTTAAATCCTCTAGGTCTCTGATCCACTCATCAAAAGTAGCGTCATATGGTGTAATGCATAAGCATTTAATTAATCTCTGACTTGGATCCTTTTTTCTGGGCTTGTTTGTCATGTATATAAAAAAAACTTTACAATCTCAACTTTATGCCGATGCCTTTTGAAAATCTAAAAAGTGAGAATGATCAGACTGCTGTCTGGTGATTAAAGGCAGTTTCAATAAATGATTCAACGGCAGCAAGGATCCACATGAGAAATGGGACTAATGTTAACGGCCACACCAGTAAGCTTATAAAGAAATAAAACTAACTCTCTGAGGTCTAAGTCATGGACCGGTCCTTTTCTACTCTACCTGAGCAGTCAAAGCACTTTATACAGCACGCCTCATTCTCCCTTTCACACCCTTTCTATGTAACATTCACACTCCGATGGATGCATCTAAGAGCAACTTAGGGTTAGTGTCTTGCAAAAGGTAAGGCAATTGGTAGATTGGTAGATGACCCGCTCTACCTCCTGAGCTACATCCACCCCTTGGGATCATAAGTGCAAACCCTAAATGCCTGAATCCCAAATATCTTTAGAGATTATCTAAAATATAACATTAAATGTGATTTAGAACATTTTTGCTTTTGCATGTGTTATTTTTCATAGTTACCACATCATAAAATATCTAAATAGCTTCTGTGTTGTTTACAGTAAGATGTGTTCACAACAGAAACACTGTTAATTTGTTGGCTTTAATCTGTTTTTGTGGTGTAGGACT